CCAGAAGTGTAAAAGCAGTAACACTCATTTGGGAATTCTAAAATGCTTTTTAAATTATACTTGTAATAAATAAACTCTATTTAATTTGTTCTTCAGTATCAGAATAATTATATTACTTAAAATGAAAATGTACTTATTGTTTAAAGGAAATATTTGAATATTTTAAATCACTGAATTCTCTATACTATGACAAGTGAATATATTTAACTTTATTATTTCTCTTATTTCTCAGTACATATCTACATGCAAATTAAAAAAATAATTTTAATCTTCAAATGAAAAATTTTTTGGGACAAAATTTTCTAGTTGTAGCGTATATTTCATTTTCATCAGAAGATAAAATAATAAATTGCGTTTTGTGGGAAATTGCATTTATCTGTGTGAAAGCGATTAGATTACTTCCCCCATTCTAACGCTTGAAGCTTTGGAACTGGACTGAAGGAAATACTGACTGTTTTCCTGCCTGTCCACAAAAGAGCACTAATCACCTCATCGTTAAGACTCGATCTGATAATTTTTTCCCCCTTTCCATAACGGCTGAGCCAGGAGCCCCCAGTGAACAAACACAACTATTTTTCGAGCCCATTGGGGAAAAGGTTAAACTTCTCTTTTAAAAAACCATACTTGGGTATGTAATTTGAAATTGAAATTTGATGGGGAATAAATTTGGCAATTTTATTGCCTAAGGTAGTATCTAAAATATGTTGCAAACATTATCTGGCATCCATAATGGTAAACATATAGCATTGTCTTGTTGGAAATGAGGTTTTGTAGGTTGTTTAGGAACAACAAAATGGATTAAAAACCTATCTAATATCATGCAGCTGTTAGAGGACAAGAAGTGACTTGTTGTCATGCACAGAAATGGACATCCTGTGCCATAATACTTGCCTGCTTGCTAAGAGGAATGGCAGCTACATTCAGGATCTGTCCTCTCACTAGGATCAGCAGATACATTTTTATCAGGCATTAGCTCATATTAAGAGGGGATTCATCTCTGAAGTCAGAAGTGATCTCTTCAGGATCCCACTTCATATGACTTCAGCCTTAAGCCAATCTTGCATCTTAAGCCAAAGGAGTGGTATCGTGGCTTAAGTTTTAAGCCAAAGCAGCAGTATGGTGGCTTGCTGTTAATGGTAGTAAGTATAATACGTTTGGCTTGTGTAATCTTTGATTTATAGTTTTGGTCATCATGACGAGTTTCACCAACAGTGTTTCGCAGTGATGATCAAATGACTCAAAGAATTTGATAAGCATCAATTGTGCTGATACATAGCATATTTTACTGCTGGAAGCTTGCAAGAACTTTGTTCCCACCAACACCAAAATCACGACACATTTATTGTGCTTCTTGTTGCACATGTGCAGTAATATAGTGTAAACTTGTCTGCTTACCACAAGTTTAAACATCTAAGTGAAGAGAAACCTGGCAACAACACTAATTAAACATTTTAGTCCTTTGCCGTTTCTTCCAAGCACATGCAGGAAATTTGAATGATCACAAAGCATCTAACTGCAAAAACACATTACCTACCATTCTAGTTGCTTTTTGCACCTTTATTATATTTATCAAGTTGTTGTTATGTCACCAACTTCAAAGCAGCTTCATTTGCTAGCCTACAGTCAGGATCTAAACATTGCTCACTAGTTCACTTGTGTGTAGTATCAAAGTATCTCAATAGTGCACACGCCTTCTGATTTTCATCTTTGTTGCATGTTTTCTGGTTCAGGCACTTCATTGCCAGGCAGTTGCACTGAAATATCTTAGTATTATATCAAGGTATACTAAGATATAATGTTTAGATTAGAACTTGCATAGTAACAATGCTGCTATGCATGTGCATAATCAGTGACTTTTTTTGCATTCACTCCATTTATCAGGGGTTCTCAAGAGAGGGAACTTCCTGCTTGAGAGCTAGGAAAGGAGAATATAATACTCAACAGAAGGAAGCAAGTGTGCTAAAAATGCAACTTTTCTCAAGGCCAAATGAGATTCCTGCGGGTCATGCTAAGATGCCTGTTGGCTAAGTAGTCGCATGGTGGTCAATGACAATACTTTGATTGACATTGTCCTAATATAGCCAGGATCACATTTTTGGCTTTTTAGTGTTTGAAGGAGGATAGCTTTCTATTTGGCAACAAATTGAAGGTTCAGTGTTGTCATGACTGCATGTCATCTTACTAAATTTAAACTAATGATATAAAATCTAGAAATATCCAAAATCGTATATAAGTCCTGATGATTCTGGATCTTGGACTTTGTACTGTATATTATAAGGTTGTATTATTAAGCCATTTTCCCCTTTTAAAATACATTAAAAATGCAGTATGTTCTCATATGTGGGATAATACAGTGTTTTGTTCTTCCCCTCCCTTTTTTGTTAAGGTGTACAAAGTTTGCTTTCATAATCTGTAAGTGATGAAAATAAATATTAATGCAAGTCATAATTATAAAATAGAGTAATAAATGGCATAAAGCTGTAATTCTTGATACAGTTGTAAAGAATGCTTCTGTTTAGATGGCTAACTGAAGAGTGGTGTGTTTAATTTAGCTTTTACTTGGTATTTGTGTGAATTTAACCCAGTTAAGCCTTATTAGAAAAGTGCTTCTTTCAAAGCAAATGATATACAGATTATTTTATTGGGAAATGTGTTTCATATTATTTATGTTATGAAGAAGTAATTATATTATGAAGAAGTAATTGCGTTTTGTAACATAACCTGCTGCAAGAGTAGATTCATGGATATGTCATTAGTTTCATGTGTTTTCTCTCATGTACTTTAAAAAGGTGACTACTAAGTACTTTGAAAAATAGCCTGTTGTTGATGATGTATTACCAAATTGAATCTTGGTTCCAGCACATTTTGGGTATACAGTAAACCCTTGCCGAATGCAGTGGTTATATCATTAAGACGTTGCACATGTTGCAAAATCACATTCTGAAGTTTACTTTCTATGGAAAACTATGTGCACTCTCTGTAGAAAGCTATGGAAAACTATGTATTAACTTATAGAGTGTGTAAACTATTATACACTGTAACATTTTGCAGCAAGGAATGCAGAGGTTTTCAATGCCTATCATTAAGTGTCCTCTTCTTTTTTCATTTGAGTCAACCTTGATTGCAGGAACACATTTTATCTTCATTGTCGCTGCTTTCACTATGGCTTCTGTTATAAGATTATCCAATTCTTCATTTGTCATTTCTTGATTAATTCTTTGGCATCTCTTCTTTCCATACCTGAAAATCCGTACCACCAGCTGCTTTTGCAATTTGTATAATTTCTAGGGCTTCATTTTAATTAAATGGAAATCCTTTAAAGTTATTGATAATTTTTGGCCTGAGCTGATGCCAGCAAGCACTCAGCAGGGGTTTACACAAAATGTGAATGCATCTTTTCAAAGAAATGCAAATATTTTATTAAAAACTTATTGATACAATTATTGATGATACTAATAATGTTTTTTGATGTGGCAATTAATGCAAATTTGCCCCTTTTAAATGGAAAATAAGCAGAATTTACGGTTAAATCTCTTTTCTATCTAGATACTTACATGGATATTTTTTCTGTACCAGTAATTTTATGTAAATTATGCTGCTGAATATTATTGGACAGTGGCTCCATGAGTTTTATAGTAAGAGGGACATTTAGTAAATCAAGAAGTTTCAGGTTGATGTCTCGCAGCTGGCATACTATTTTAATAATTATCTTGGTAAATATGATGACCACGATCAAAGTTAAGTTCAAAACTGGAAGGGGAAAAAAAAAAAAAAATTCCATATTTGCAGTTAATTCCTGTTGTACTTTGTCACAATACTGTAACAAAAAGGATTTTTTAAAAATAATGAACTGTTGCATTTTTAATCTATCTCCAGGGAATCATAGCTTCTTTTAGTGATATTTCTTAGATGGGTTTTTGTATAATTTGGAATTTTTTCATGAAATCATCTTTTATTGGTTTCACTTTGAGGAGTCTGAAGAATAATTTTATAACTCATTACATTAAAATAGAGAAATGAAAATCCGATCACACCTGTTCTAGCTTATTATTTTTGTAAAAGTTAGAAATTAAATAAATGGAGATGTAGACCAGTAATATGTGTGAACTGTTTTTGTATATGGCATAAGAATAATAAATGATTTTTTTTACTTCTTGTATGCTTTCATCTACCCATTTTGTTGTTTTGGAACTTTTCTTCCATTTGCATTGATTGTGAAATTAGGTATGAAGTTTGTTTCAATGCACACATTTGAATGAAATGATCACCAAAGACCATACCTGTAGGATTGGAAGGAATTTCTTTTGTGACCGGATTTTCTGTAAATAAATCCAACATGGAAAGTTTGTCTTTATTTATCCATCATCCATTCATTCCAGTAGTTGTCTCTCTAACATCCTTAGCATTATGAATTTCACTGCAAATGGTGAAAATTTTGTTATGACGTTGATTGGAGGGAGGATGTTATTTTAATATCAGAACGTCTGCGTCTTCATTATCAATCTCAACATCACTTGATTCATTTGAAAGCACTTTTGCAAAAAATTCTTTGCATACCTTACAGTGATATTTTCAATTAATTGTTGAAAATTGAGCTGCGGCATTGGGAAGCTGTTATGTTGCTGACACAAAATTAAGTAAATACAATATCTTAAGACAACAATGTATTTGCATGCAGAAGATGCGATTTGTTGTGTTATGTTTTGAAATATCTGAAAACTGAGTCGTGCTGTTGGGCATTTACCATCCTCTGCATTTGGGAAACAAAAAATGTCTGTTTGTGGGTCTTCTCTCTACTGCTGGCCAAATGAAAAAATGCTGATTCTTGTTTCCTGTTAATATGAACTAAGTAGCTCGTTTTATATTTATGTGACTAACGAAGGAAAAAGCATAATTGTGTTTTTAATTTTTCTATAGCTGTAGAAATTCTTTCCTATTTTATGCGGGGTACTGAACTTAATGAATTACATTTTAAGAAAAATATGATTTTATTTGTGCAGGTATGTAACAGTAGAGGAAATTGCCATTGTGAACTTGGTTATGCACCTCCGTATTGTGATTCTCCAGGACCTGGGGGAAGCATTGATAGTGGTCCTGCATCTGATCCTAGCAGTAAGTTTTTTTACATCTATTAAAATTCTGCTTTGTATCAAGCGAAGAGAAAATGTATCTAATATTAAATATTACTAAAAATATTGCTAATTGTAGTCTTTTATCCTTCCAATTTTATTAAAATTGTATACTGATTAACTGGTTTTTAAAATATAACATTTCAGTGCATGTCGGTTTTGCCTTCAAATAAATGTGAACTTATATTAGTAGATGGAATTTTGTGGTGGTGCTGGAAATGCCAAAATATTATACTCTACGAGGGCTGCCTAATCTTTTCATGAACACAAGCTAACTCACCAATACAGGCAATATCATTCCTGGTGCATATGAAAAATATAAAACATTAATCTAAATAATGCAATGAATGAATGCCTCACGATCAGCTTAAAAGCATATTACGACTGGTGGGTAGGCCTGCCCCATGCTGTATAGTTTGGTCATTATATTCTTCTACCAGTTTTTTGTCTTGCAACTTTTTGGCAAATTGATTACTTAGTTCTATCCGAGCATTTTTCATTTAAATTGAGGTCAGGATAATTTGAACCTCCCAATAACACTGGGAAAAAATGCTTGTATTCCAGAAGTTTCATTTAGTAATAATATATACTTCTAGAGCAATAAGTGGGTGACACTAGTCTTTCATGATTCTTAAGTAAGTTGATGAGTACTGCTAGATGTTTTGGATCAAACTGTGTTTTTCTTATGGGTGAGGTAATATTAATCCATGGTGAAGAAAACAGTTTTTGTACTTTCATATTACTTTTGCTTGTGTAGATCTTTGATATAGCAGTAAATAGACTTATTAGATTCATACTTCCCTTTTTATTTATTTAACATCACGGGAAAGAACTTGGATTCATTTGATCAATTAATACAGTTCACTGCTCCAGTAGTTTGGAACCTGGAATAATGAAAAACTTGCTGATAGTTAACTTCCAGTTATTGGTTTTGATATTTTTATCAGTTGTCGAGAAACTTGCCTTTTCTTTGATAATGTTAACATCTGAGTGTCTATATGAATGAGCAGTACATTAATAATGAATTTTCATGTTGAGATGACTTTTATTTTAGCTCTTAATTGAATTGTGATCATTTAATTGTATTAAAATGCTTATCATTAGCATGTGAATTGCTGTTTGTTTTCTCCCATAATTTGTAACCTTATTACATGGTTCCTGTGCCAGACTATTTTGGGTCGAAGAATCTCAAATATGGATAATTTTTCATTCTGGACAATTTGCAATAAACAAATTGTTGACTAAATGTTGTAATACTAAGACAATGAAACAAGGATAGTTTCTTCTGTGTTTGGTTTCTAGCAGCTAAATAGGTGGCTGCATAAAAATTTTCACGGGTGCCTTTGTTACTTTGCCATAATAAATTACCTAGTTATGTGGCTGCTAAATCCTTGAAATAAAGCCCAGTACAATAATTTTGGGAACATTTGAATTATATTGGCTCATGGAAAAAATCATTTAACTTTCAAAGCAGCACAGATCTTTTGTTTTCTTTTTGTACTATGACATAGTTTCATGTGACATTGGCTGAATAGAAGGACATAGAATTTGAAATCATTTCTGAACACCAGACACATGATCTCAAAAGTTTCACCCTGAAAATATTTTTCTTTATATTTTAATTTAATATATTGTTTTGTATCCTCTTATTACCTGAGACATGTGTCACTTATTTCTGCCTTGACATGCTTGTAAAATCCAGTGATGTCCTGGCAGAAATAGAGGGTCTGTCCACGAAGTAACGAGACTGATTCCATACAATTAGTTTATTTGAAGATATAATTTTACAGACATTTAATATTCTTCAAAATAGCCTCCTCCTGCATTAATGCACTGTTGCCAATGCACTGCTACTCATGAATGTCCACCTGGAAGTCCTTAGCTGGAGTGCTATTCAGAACATACATTTCTACTTCCAGTTCTTCAGATTGTCAAAACAATGACCGTTTAAGGTGGATTTTTAACCGAGGGAGTAGAAAAAAATCCGCCGGTGACAGATTGGGGCTGTACGTTGGTTGGTGCAGCATTGTGATGTTGTGGTTTGCCAGGAACTGAGTCACTTTGAAGAATGTGTGGACCAGTGCATTATCGGACCAGTGCATTATCTTGGGGCAGAATCCAATTGTTTGTGTACGTCCAAGTGGACGTGCACAATTCAGTTCCTAATCTTTGAAACACTTCCTCATAAAAATCTACATTTACCTTCTGTCCGGGCTGTACAAACTCTTTGTGCACCATTCCCTTGGTATCAGAGAAGGCAGTGAGCATGGACTTCAATTCTGATTTGCTGACTTGAGCCTACTTTTGATGAGAAGATTGGGGCGTGTGCCTTTTTTTTGGGAAGATTGGGACCTCTGCATTCTGCCTTTTTGTTTTTGGGATCATACTGAAAAACCCATATTTTGTCACTGGTAATGACTGGCTTAAAAAAATTACCGCCACTCGTTACTTACTCCAACAATTCAAGTGAAACTGATTCGCAGTTTTCTTTCTCTCCATTGGTTAAAATCTTTCGAACCAATTTAGCACATAAGTTCTTGCCTGACAATTTGATGCACAATCAATTTTTTAAGTCCCAATATCTCCGAAATCATTGGGAAACTCATCCAATGATCAGAGACCAAAACACTTTAATTTTAGCCACATTGTCTGAAGATCAAGTACCTTGATAGATTCCCAGCACGTTGTTTGTTATCAACATCCTCTCATTCATCTTTGAAGGCTTTTGATACCTACACACTTTAGTTTGGGGCAAGGAATCTTTCCTGTTCCTTTGGGCAAGGCTTCTTGTAACATGGCAAGTGTTTCGGTAGCTGATTTTTTAAGTTTTACATAAAACTTTATGGCGTATCATTGTTTGACACTTCACTGCATTCTGAAAACTTAACCCCACTTTCAAATGCATGTCTGCTAGACGAGCAATCCATGCACTGCAAAGGCTCAAGGCCAACTGACTTCTGCCGGACTGTAGCTGATAGCCTCCACCACCCGCAAAGTGGGGCCATCTAGCCTTTTGCTTGGTGCAAAAAATTCAGTCTCATTATTTTCTGGATAGACTCTGTAGACTTTGCTCAGTGTGAGGATATTTTCCTATAAATTTCCGTTCATGCTTTATGGGTGATTTGTAATAAAAGCAGAATATATTGTAAAGGTTTATTATGTACACCAAGCAAAATTTGTTGAAATTTCTGAACATAAATTATTAACGAAAAAGTATGATATACCTTTTTATATTTAGCATACTTTATATATATATATTTATTATGTCATAAAGGTAACACAAATAAAATGCATTTGAATGGAATATTTTTTTCCAGTAGAAATATTTTACATATTTACATGTTTGTGTATTAGAAAGTGGATTAAGTTGCATAGGTATCAAACATACCATTATGCCTCTTGGCTGAAGTGGCGCAGCATTATGGAATTGCTTTAAATCCATAATTATGCATTGTTTGTTGATGGTATGTGCCTTTGTGAGAACTGCGAATAAGAAAAGCATGCATTGTGGGTCATAGCTCACATATAGGGTGTACAATGTGTTAATAAATATTTTAAACTGTTTTTAATGGCCATTTATAGCAAGGGATCTATTATATTTTTCATTTACTGTTTGATATGCTTGGTTATAAACCAGCTGAATTTCCAATTCAGAAATTTTAAATAACCATGTGTAAGTCCATATTATCACAATTTTGAAAGTGTTTATTTTCAGAAGATCTTGCATTGACAGTTCTTTTAAGAAATCAAATTATTTAAAATTTCATTAAGGTTTTTAATTAAAATTATTTTAGCATATAACTGTTGTTCAGTATTAACACAAATAAACATCATGGCAATATACGATGTAAAACAACAGTGGATTATAGGTTACGTATTGTCAAGATATGTGGTACTACTGAACCATTTTCCTCTTTTTTTTAACTATATTGTTTAATGATTTATGTGAAGAACTAGGAAAAAACATATCAATTTAATCTGATTTTTGGTAACATTTTTTTCTAACCACTTAATGCCACAAATATTATTTCTTATTAGAAGATTTAAGGTTTGCAAAAAATTTTTAGTTGCTCAAAACCTCACTGCATTCTTATTTTCCAGGTTATTTTATAGTCATTGCGATGTACGTAATTTTCCTTGGTCTTCTTCCATTGATGGTTTTAGCTTCTGCTGGAATTTATTATTATCGCAATCATCTTAAAAACTGGTGGTCTAGGAAAGCTCATAAAGCCAATATTAAGTAAGTTCATATAGTTTTTCTCTGAAATACATTTTCATTCATAATATGCCACTAATTTAATTTGCTTGAAATGAGTGTGCAACCAATTTAGTTTTATGTTGTGTGAATTTTCCACTTTGTGATAAAAATTATCTCTTGTTAACAGTCCTTACTGTAAATTTTAACCTTTTTGCTCTACAAAATATTTTTAAAAAATTCTGACGCATAAAATGAATTGATTTTATTCAAAATTAAGTAATACTTTTTGTAAAATTAGGAGGGAGTGAGTGCAAACTAACTAGCTAATTGCTTGTTGCAAGACTATGCATGTTGATACTTGTTCCTTTGTCTGAATAACAAGGTCTTCCATCATCTTGAAAAATGATGTCCTGAACATTGCCAAACTTCTTTCTCACAGAAAGTTGCAGAGGACCATGAAGAATATTTTATATATTTTGTATCACTATCTATAACCATATATAAAATGCTAGAAAACTTCCTGTAGATGGTTACAGCAGTATCTATCACCATCTATAAGGGGGGCATTAAAAAGATGCCCTTTGTTTACAGTCTTCTAAATTTTGTTTACTTCGTAGCTACTTCTGTGTCTCTTAACCCTTTCGATCCGACTTTAGCATGATTTAAAATATAACTATGAAAGTAGCTTTAACTTAATATTGACATACTAAAAGAAGTGTAATATGAGTTTATATAGTTTTTAACTTTTCCCATTTCCTGAAAATCTCCTGGGACAATATGTCTCAATCATATTGTCAACTGGGACTGTTTGTCCCAATCATCTAGGCTATTGTGATAATAACCTTACACTGCATGTGAATAATAAAGTTAAATGAAATGTACCGAATATTTTATTCTTACAGTACAAGTGTGATATGCCGTAAAGCAGTCTTTACAAAGTGTAACCTGGCACATTTGGCAAATAAGGCAGCTTTCTTTAGTTATATATTTGTTCCCTAATTTCTTAAAAACACTGCAAACATTAGAACCCATTTAAAAGTGTGTTTTACTTACCCAATGAGGAATGAAATCTAATCTCTGTGATGTATGCGCCCATTAGGAACGAAAAGGTTAAATAATCAGCATGCTCTTTCTTGAAACTTGGCATCTCACATACTGCATTCCATAATATCCATAAAGATTAACAACTTATTTAAATATTGATTCATCTGAATTTTTTGTTTTGCCTTATGTTCTTTTGCTCACTGGAAAGTTTCTTTATAACAGTGCTTTCTTCATAATGCAGAGTGTAGTTAAAGTATGAGCACAAATAGTGCAACTTATTACTTTAAGTACTTTTGCCAGCAAGTTTCAGGCCAGTATACACTCATTGTCATAAAAATTTCCAAACCAAAAAAGGGTTGTAAGAATCGAGTAAAATTTAGTGTTTATAGTTATTTTAGTTTCAATATCTGGTAAGTGGTGAAGAAGTCGGAGCAAAAAGTATATACAGAAGAAATTATAAAGGAATTGAGGTTCTGGTACTTGATGGGCTACCTCTGCCATAAACAGACGATGCAATATATGTGGGCATTAAGGCATGGGATTTCTGTATGGTGTCCTGCATCATCTCAATACACAGATGTTATAAACGTACCCGTAATTTGATCAAACTGCCCAACTTGCCACCTCAGGTGACCCTAGAAATGTTAAATGTGACAAATCTGATGCTCATGCAGGATTTACACATGCACATATATATAAGTTGGTGGTGTGGCAGGAATGTGGTGGAGGCATTTCTTTGACATTCTTGCTGTATGTGGCTGTGTTGTCCTGTTAAAAATGCCTCTTGGAAATCCTGGTTTGAGTACTGACGTAGGTTTGAAGGATGTCACTAGTGTACTGCTGGGCTGTCATGGTGCCGTGAATGATTGCAAAAGATGAGCGTTGTGCTACTGTAAAGTGAAGGCAAGATTAAGGTGTTTACAACAGGCCTTAACATAGACAGTTGGAATCGCTGCCCAAATTAAATCTCAATTCATCACTGAAGACAACCTGATAACATCGCCTTGCTGAATACCACTCCAAGCAGAGGTGATTGTGGTTGGGTGTCATTGGTACTACATGCAATGGCCAGTATGATACCAAATGTCCTTGAACAATGTGCTATACTATCGACAGACAAAGGGCCCTGTACTTAAAGTGCTTCTGTGTCCAGTGGCTGACAACAATGCAGTTAGCACTATGTGTGTCAAGTAATCCTCTCAGCTAATGGTCTGCTGGGGGCATTCTGAGCATGTCACCTATCTGTATTATCCACTGATCCTAAGAGATCCTCATAGTAAAGTCAGAATGGGCTACTTTACCTAGCTGACCATATCTAGATTCCTTCATCTTGATAATTCGTCCCCTCACCAACTCTTACAGCTGTTCTTATTCTCTTTGATTATGGCATAATAGCATCCCCAGTGAAAAAGCATCACTCTGCAATAAGTTAACTACAGGCCAAAAACTGCCTCTGCTGAACTTTTCTATGCATCAGGGAGAACAAAGCTGAGTGCCATCTAGTATCATTGTGCGATGTGCAATCATGTTGTATTTCTAATCATTTGCATATATGCCTTATATGTGCCAAGTGTTTGAGGTTATCGATAAGTCGATATGAGCTAAAACAAAAAGCAATTAATAAAGCATAAATAGATAACTAAAATGCATACTAAGACCAAAGAACGTAAGTTTTTATTACTGCATGCTATAGTCAGGAATACTTGAGTAAATATAAGAGTTGTCACTTGTCTGATACAAAGTTGAGTTGTACTACAATACTTCCTCCACAAGCCACAACTTATTTAAAATTAACATTAACTTATTAAATTAACATTCATTAACAAGACTATTAAATGAAAACAGTCCTAACAAGGTACACAGTTCTTTGAACCTAACACTAGGCAATGAACATGATGTCTGCTAATTGCATTTTACCAGGCTCATGCTTGATGGACAGTTGACCTTCAATGAATTCTTGCACAAAGTGATAACGGACATCTATGTGCTTGGACCGTGTATGGTATTCAGGATTCTTTTCACTAATTCAGGATTAGTTCTTTAGCACTCTCACTCGCAGCAACATATTCAGCCTCTGTAGTAGATAACACCACTCTTCTGCTTTTGGCTCATCCATGGGAGGGCTCCACATGAAAATTTAGAGACCATTCCAGTTCTTGAGCGTCTTGTTTTTAAATCACCTGCATAATCAGCATCGCTGTACACTTCAAGCTCATTGGGATGATAGTTTGCTTGATATAAGAAGCCAAAATCTACAGTTCCTCTTAGATATTTAAAGATTCGCTTTACAGCACACCAATCCGAGGTCCTGGGATTTTCAAGATTTTCAGAAACAATGCTTATAGCATAAGCTAAATCAGGTCTTGTAGCAGTTGCAAGGTACATCAGACTGCCAACCGCCTGGTGATAAGGGACTTCTTTCCCTATCAGTTTGTTTTCTGTGTCATCAAAAACAAAGCTTTTGTCACTTGGAGTTGACACTGGATTGGCGGAGTCCATATGAATTTTGAGAAAACTTTTTTCAAATGGGCACACTGATTCACAAAAATTGAACCATCATTCAATATTGTTATGTTCATACCTAGAAACTGGTTCAATGGACCCCTTGTGATCTGAAAAGAATGATCAAGTTGATGTTAAAAAAATAAGATATGTGTGCCAATCACAATATTTACTTAATGTTAATTGGCAACAGTAGTGTTGTTGTCGAGTTGTCCTTATCTGGTGTGCATTGCTGTGGTTGCTTGTTTTCATGTAACCAAAATATTACCAATATATTTGACTGTTCAACTTGGACTATGTCATTTCTTTACCCACAAATAATTTAAAATATAACAGTTTACTCATAAACTCCTCCACTTTGTCTGTCCCAGCAGCTAGGCCATCATCTACATAGATAACAACGAGAAGTTTCTTGTCAGTTCTGTGTCTGATAAACAAGCAGGAATCAATGTACTAACTTCCAGTTCCTGGTCTTTCATAAAATTCACAAAACACTGATTCCAGCAACGGGGTGCTTGTTTGAGTCCATATAAACTTTTATGCAATTTACAGACTCTCCCACTATTATCATTGAAGCCTTCTGGTTGTGTCATGAACACTTCCTCCTTAAGGGTTCCACACAAGAATGCAGTCTTTACATCAAACTGCTGCAAATACAAATTTTCTTTTGCCACCACAACAAGAACAGCTCTTACAGTGTATCTTGCAACTAGGCTGAATGTCTCGTCATAATCAAAGCCTGCTTTTTTGGTATAACTCTTGGCTACAAGACGAGCTTTGTGTCGCTCCACAGTACGATCTGGATTAAATTTCTTCCTCAGCACCCATCGACAGTTGATAACTTTGGAACCTTTGGGTCTCTCAACAAGTTCCCATGTTTCATTTTCATGAAGGGTTTTCATTTCTTCTCTTATGGCGTCTAGCCACAGGTCACTTTCACTTGACGAAAGAGCTTCAGAATATATGGATGGATTTTCACTGTTTTCAAATTTTTCTTCTGCAGCTATGTTTGCCATCAGATAGTCTCTGGATTTCATCCATGTAGGACAGCTTTGGTTTCTCCCAGATTTTATAACAGGCTCTTGTTCTTTGGATAGACTACGTTCTTCACTCAGAGTTTCTTCATACCTTACATTTAAGTCTTCCTCCACCTCCACTGTCACAGGAGTGCTGCACAAACATTCCGGTTTGAAGTCAACATCTCGAGATTTTATGATTTTCTTCTGAGAGGGCAGATAGATCTTATAACCATCTTTCTTGTTTACATACCCCACAAAATGATCACAAACACTTTTGTCTTCAAACTTTTGTCTGAAGATCTTTGGTATATGTGCACAGCATTCGGTTCCAAATACTTTCAGGTGGTCAAGCTTAGTTTTTGGCTCACCAGTCCAAAGCTCATGAGGACTTTTGCTTTCATCTGGGGATAAACCAGTGTGATTTAGCAGATACACTGTGGTGTCACATGCGTTGGCCCAAAGTGACTGAGGCAATGGGGTAGTAGACTTTAAGGTATCCTTTGTATTATGGCGAAGTTGTTGTTTGATTTATTGCCAAGTTATTGTTTCATTTATGGTAGCCTGAGTAGTTGAATGTTATGGAAACCCTATTGTGACGTAATCGGGTGCATGATTCTGGAAAATTTTGAATCATGGGATGTTTTGTAAGTGTTTTTGTGGTGTGTGTTAAAACCGTTTAGATGGATTTAAATGGGTTTGTAGGAAGAAAGGTTCAGATGGTCACTATGTGAAGCATTCGATCAGAAAGAGTACCTGGTTTGAAAAAAGTTATTTGAGTATGATTGATATTTTGATTTTTACATGGCTCTGGGTGTATGAAGCGAACTCAAAAATCATGGTAAGTGAATATTTGCTTTTGGTAGTGCTTAAATGTATAACATGTTTTCCCTTTTTTTATGTTATTTTATTGTTTGGTTTAAAATGTATTTTATTGAGATTATGTATTTTTGTTTGCCTATATTGTAGAATTTGATGCTTCTTTGACTTTTTAAGTGAAAATATGTCGATGTGTACATGGACAAAGTAAAGGGAGTGTGCAATGCAAGTTTGTGCAATTCTGGGATTTTTTTTAAGTGAAAATATTTTGACGTGTACATGGATAAAGTTAAAAGAGTGCGCAATGCCATTTTTGTGCAATTCGGGGATTTTTTTTTTAAGTGAAAATAGGTCGACGTGTACACGGATAAAGTCAAAGGAGTGCACAATGCCAATTTTTGTGAAATTTGGAGGTTTTTTTTAAGTGAAAATAAGTCGATGTGTACATGGATACCGAGTTTGTGCAATTGTTTGTCTTGTTATTTTGGCTTTGTGAAGCGGCGATTTTTGCGGCAAAAATCGCCGCTTCGCAAGCCAAAATAACGAGTCAAAGAATTGCACAAAATCGGTATCCATGTACCGCCAAGTTTCACCAAGGGGTACCCTAAACTACACTGACTACAATTAATATTTGAACACCTATGCAAATGACGATATCTGCGGTCCCAAGGTATGCCACGGACTCTGCCGGTATATATCGTGTAGGAAACAGCATCGGCTTTAGTTGCATGCAAGATGCCTCGCAGTTCAGAGCTCTCCAATTTCGAGAAAGGTATAATTATCGGGTATCACAAATGTGGCCGATCCTTAAGAGACATATCTAGCGATCTGAAGTACCCAATATCGACAGTGGCCTAGGTGATCAAGAAGTGGAAGGTGAGGGGTGATTGTCGGAATGTGCCCTGAGTCGGCAGACCAATGAAACTGGGGGATAGAGACCGACAAATGCTGTTCAGAGAAATTCGGAAGAACCGCACCCAACCGATAGCCCTCATCCGCGAGGAGTTTCAACAGGCATCCGGGAGTATTGTTTCAATGGATACCATCCGTAAGGAAGCACATCTGCTTGGTTTTCATGGTCGTGCTGCTGCCCATAAGCCTTTGATCACAAAGTCCAACCGCGCTGCTCGGTTAATGTGGTGCAAAGCACATCGAAATTGGACCGTAGATAAGTGGAAACGGGTTCTTTGGAATGATGAATCAAGGTCTCATCCTTTATCGTTCGGATGGCAGGGTCTGGGTCTGGCGTCTACCTGGAGAACGTCTCCTGCCAGAATGCATTGTGCCAACAGTCAAGTTCGGCGAAGGTGGAATTATGGTCTAAGGGTGTTTCTCCTGGTATGGGCTGGGACCTTTGGTCCCCATTCATGGTAAGCTCAACTCCAATGCCTACTGCACTATTTTGGATAATAATGTGCTTCCTACGTTGTGGCAGTTTTATGGATTGGACCCCTGTTACTTTCAGGATGACAATGCCAGTTGTCATGTTTCGACGTTAACCAAGGCTTGGTATGGTGCCAATGCAGTTCATCGAATGGACTGGCCAGCCCAGAGTCCAGACCTGAACCCTATCGAGAACCTCTGGGACGAGTTGCATCGCCGAATTCAGGGGTGCACTACCCATGCAAAATCGGTGAAGTTCTATGTCTTCTCCAAGCCAAGTGGAAGAAAATACCACTAGCTGTAATTACCTCTCGTGGAGGCTCTACCAACTATTGATTTTGAATAAAGTTAGTTTTTCGTTTCTATCGCAGGTGTCCAAATACTTATTGGTAGTCAGTGTATACTTTTACCAGGCAATGCACTTGTTGCAAGCATAGAACAAGCCAATTCAACAATTGTTCGGTTTTCCCTCTCTGCTGCACCATTTTGCTCTGGTGAGTAAGGTACACTCAGAGTTAGTGCTATACCTTTTTCAGGAAGTATCTTTTAAACTTCACCACAGTCAAATTCTCCTCCTCCATCACAATGGAAGCTTTTCACAACATGGCCAAGATTAGTGGCTTCATTGAGAAACATACATAGACAACAACTAATTGGATATTGCCTGTTACAACAAGAAATTGTGTTTGTCTATAGAATTAAAGAGAAAGTATTAGGGGGAAAAAAGGAAGTAACTCAAACAGCTTAAATTGAAAGAAATGCTTGATAAAGTAAACGAATAATTATTAAGCCTTTCTTTTTGGAAAATTTTGATGCCCTTTAGATCATAAATGCTTCATTATTTCATATTTTTAATTTTATAATATCAACGTGCGATCTTATTAGATTTAATTTGATGATCTAATAACCGGAAAAATCCCAAATCCTTAATCGCCGAAGTCCCGACGAGTCCAGATCTTGGACTTTGTACTTTATTATCATTTCTTGCTTGTGCTATGTATTATTACTTTTCTGTGACATAATGAAATAATTAACCTTAGCTATAGGTAATACTATCTGAGATTATGTATATGGTAATTTTACCTAAATTTTATGTATAAGCTATGAGGTGTCTTTTTTATTGAGTTTTCAAGAGTTATTAGCACTTTAAAATGTGCTAATACAACTTTGACAGCTTTCTGAACTTGTCAAATTTCTGAACTGCCGTTCACCTGCATAAATGCTTGTGAATTGCCATGATGTATTGCACATATATTTCTGCCTTCTAGATTAGCTTGGAGATGATCTAGTAAATTTCCTTACTGCATGTGTAATGTGATGTTAAATGATATTTTTGTAGATATGAATTTTACGTTGCAAGATCTTCATTTGTCTTGCATAGAGCTCAAGATTTTCATTTGTCTTGCATAAAACTCTTTTGAAAGTTACATAATGTGCTGCTTACCTAGTTAATTATGAGTGATAAAAAGAAACTAAACATATGAATTATATTCATCATGAGAAATATCTAAAAAGTTCTAATGAAAGAAAAGTTGCTTTAAAAGTTTCAAATGCTTTTTCTAAAAGGGGGAAAAAAATTAAACTAGTTATTCTGTATTTATTCTTGAATTATGTCTTAAAGGTCTTCATAGCTGTAATAAAAATTTTCAGTTAGATTCCTTAATCATGTTTATTTCAAACATAATTCTTGCCATGTTTTCATCAGTTCTCACATTGTATTATGTGATTAGATAAGCTTTTGTCATTCTTGTTACTTATCAAAACTAAATTATTTTTTCCTTTGGCAATCTACAGCTTTTTTTCTTTTTTTTTTTTTTAGTGTGTAAGATCTTTATAGCTTATTTTATCTCAAATCTATAGAGCTGTTGAAGATTTTAATAAATTTTTTTTATGTAAATGTTATCTTGCTAAATCAGGCTTTTAATTTTTTACTGTGAAATTACTGAATTTATTCCTAACATACATACTATATTCTTATTTCTAGATCAAGAGCTAAGACTACAACTCAAAGGAAACTACAACCACCATCAAAGTTTCAGTTTGATAGAAATAGTATACGTACATTAGAAATTTCAGCCCCTCTTCCTGTTTCTTCATCAGTCAACTGCGCTGTGAGTACTTTACCTGCCCAGACCAGTCACAATTTGGCAGATTCTTCTGGTTTTTCTGAAGTTCAGATATCTTCCCCAGTTCCTCAGAATTCTGGTACTTTGCAAAGTAACAAATTTACTCCTGTTCGACCAGCTCCACCTAGACCTGACAATACCCCTCAGCGAACCCCTTCATGGACACCAGCTACAGCAGTTATAACACCTACAATAGTAAGAACATCTAGTCTCAGAAGTCCATGTGAAAGCAATGTTGGAAACAGACCATTAAGTACTTCAGGTTTTAGGCCCACTTGTCCTCCACCTAGACCACCCCCCCCTAAACTTAATTCATCTTCTTTACTCCAGCAAGACTTATCATCTTATACATATGAAGATATTCCAAAATCAAAAGAGCATGAACGTTCAGTGACACCTAGCTCAATTTATTATGATGATTGTCAGACTTTAGATTTTACTGATACCCCATTGGCATTTGTTCATATGTCTAAGCAAAATAATGTGAAAGACAGTAAGATTAATGATGTATCCTATCATAAGCAAAATAATTGTGCTGCTTCTGAACATATTTCTACGGATGTAAATAAAATAAATAATAGGACAAATAAAACATTCAATATAAACAACCAGAGTGTCGGTGCTTGTAAACCAGTGTTTCCACGTGTTGTAAGGACAGGAGAAACTTCACTTGTTGCTTCATTAGCCCAAAAATTTGAAAAGCAAGATAGTTCTAATACTTGTGACTCTCTTAGTAATTCACTAAGGCCACCTTTCAAATCAAGACCACTACCACCAAGGCCTGATAATCCTCGAGCATAATGTTACCATTATTTCCAAAACATAGTGAATGATTCAATATATTTTATCCTATTTTTATTTATAAAGACTATTTATAACTGTTGAGGTCATTTTAGACCAAATGAAGATTTTTTTTTTTTTTTCATAACGAATTCGTTATGTTGAAGAGCTTGATTTTTTTTTATTGAAGCATTATGTGTCTTACTTTCATGTTTGTGAATATTCTTGTTCCTATAATTTACTGTAATGGATATCTGCTGAGAGCTATGTATATTTCTTCATTATTCCTTTATTGTTGTTCACTGAAATTTTGGATAAGCTTTTAATTTAATACAAAGAATTTGATATTTTATGATCTTTATACTGAATAATGTTTTAGTTTTATCCTTTATATAATAGGGGCGTACCTATTTATTACAAATTCGGAAGGTTACTTGGTGTTAAAACAGATCACTTTATAGACACATTTTGTTTTTCTGAGTCCTTGAAAGTTGAAATATTTAAACTTTATCTCTTAACCTGTTTCTTTGTTATAAAAATTAAAGAAATTATATTTAGCTTTTTAGAAGTTTACATTGTAAAAGTTTTCCTTAATATTTCATATTTATTTTGTTATTTTTTTAACTTACTGCCTTATGATTTAAATGACAACTGTTTATTTTACGGTAAGACAATAAAGCATTTACTTGTTTCCTTAATTTCAACTGGTGCAAAAATAATAATGTTCTGAAGATGTTTTTTGCCTCTTGCAATATTTTATGTAAAATGAAGACAGATCTGTATACTTAATGTTTTTGGTAGCCTACATTTTAAGATATAATTGGGGAGAAAAGAAGAAAGTAATACTAGTTGAAATTTTAAACAAGATTTTACGTAACTTAATGCATCATTCATGTGATTCAAGTTTCTGTAGCTCAGCATGTTGCGCAATACTACTGTAAAGCTGAAATTTTCTTAATTCTGTTTTGAAAATAAGTTTATTTTTGTAATTATTTATTTTATTAGGCAACTAATGTGTGTGTGTGTGTGTATGTGCAGAAATGTAGAAGCTGCATAATGCAATCATTTTTGTTAATCTGTCACCAGAACTTACACATGTGGCATGTTTTGCAAGAAGCAGATTTTTTTAATTCTGTTAAGACAGCACATGTATGAAAGTCATCTGACACTGAAATGATATGATTTGCCAAAGAGGGCTTTGAAAATGAAATGGCCAATTTTTAATTTGGGTCACTAAAATTCTGTTCTTAAAAGCTTTCGTCTCTTTAACTCTTCAGATAGTTTTTGTAAACACTGGAAGTTCATGTTCTAGATTCTCAAACCCTTTTTTTATGTATGCAATCAATATTTGTTGGCTCTTTTGTTACTTTTATGTTTATATATTGTTAATATAATAATGTTATCAGTCACAAAGTAATTTCATTGTCCGAAATATTTCCTTTTACAATTCCGTGACTGTTAAATTTCTCGTTTATGAAAAAAAGCCTTTCTATAGTTCATTTTTATTTGTGCATAAGATATGCTAAAGTATGTAATTACAGTATCATATGCAGAGTAGCATTACTGAGAAGGAGAGTTAGCATATATATATATCTGAAATGTTAACCAAGTTCTATATAAGCAGAAAATGCTAAAGTTTTAAAATGTAAAGTAAACATCCAATGTCTTATATAGTTTTGTCAAAAGTGAGTAAATTCATACCAGTTTGTCATTCAAATAGATAAATCAGGATCACTTTGGAATTTTTCTTGGTATTTATTAATTTATTAAATTCTGAAAGCTTTGCATGTAATTAATTATTAAGCTTCACAAAAATATCACTTTTCATTTGGAGTTGAATGTTTATACATTACAAACTAGCACATCTGATCATTATCACTTGTGTCAGAATTTCATTGTTTTAATTGTATTACATAGTCTGCAAAATATTATGTCAGCTGTGAAATATACCTAATTAAAAGGGCTATTTTGATAATAGTCATTGAATATAATTCCTAAATAGGCAATTGCCTGTATGATTAAAGTTACCTAAAACTATGAATTACTTAAACATGTACTGAAATTTATTATTAATACTTTAGCATCGACTGTACTGCAACTTGTTAAAGTAATCTGTCAAAGTTGTATTAAATGTGTATGAAATAATTTAAAATCGCTTTAGGCTCCTCCTCCTTATGAGAATTGAATCAGATATGTATCAAACTCTATTATATATAAATGGAAAAGTTAACTAGTGATGATTTTTCAAGGGTTAAAATGCGTAGCTAAAGAATAAGAATGTCACTTGATATAACTGAAAATGAGTTATTTGGATACATAAAAATATCAAGCTTGGTTTACAAAAACGGAGATTATTCCAATGTTCGCAGGTACTCGACAAAAGAGGTATTTTAGTAATATCAGTAATAATAGCCATTTCTAACTAGATATTATAAATCAATAAAGAATAATCTTGAAGTGCCTCTGTCACATAAAGTTAAAAAAGCTAATAGATTAATGTAGCTAAAAATGTCATAAGTGGAAACTGTCAGTTGTTTAAACTGGTCCTTTTGAGCTATTGAACTATGCTTTGAATATTTTTCTTGAAGCTATCAATAACAGAATTTTTTTAAAGAATACAATATTTTAGTACAAAGGTAGCTTGTTGCCAAAATCTAAATTTATTAATAGGAAAATCTGTGTTGTTACTCACCCATTCATTTTAATAGGAGGATTTTGCATTTCTGTATGTAATGAATTTTTTGTACAAAAATTAGCTTTTATACTAAATCTTCATTAATTCTTTAAACAGTTACCATTAAATTTTATGCTGCAATATTAATTTATAAATGCCAACTGAAAAATTAAAAAAGAGCAAATTTTAATAAATGACCCAATATTTTAAATAAGAAAACTGCTTAGCATAGTTTAGGAAATATTGCACAATATAATATAACACACACAGATCTTAATTCTGTTGCAAGATAGCTTTCTCTAAAATGCAAGAATCAGTACTAAAAAATATAGAGTATTTTGCAGTTGTTTTCAGGGTTTTTTTATGTTTATGTAATCTCAACAGAAGAGAGTATAAATTAAACTAAAAAGCAAATTATTATTATTTTAATAAATTTAGGAATTTTGTTGTCAGCATTTAGTTTTGAAACAGCACTAAGCAGTTGGGTTTGCATATATGAAGATGCACGATCTTTTGGTATTTTCTTACTTTGATACAATGAGAATGAATTGCAATCAGGCAATTATACAGCACTCAATGTTATCAGAAGCAGCATTTATTTTTACTTTAGTAAGTACTTAAAATCCCTGTGCAATATTTTCATAGCTTATTGGATATGTGTTATTTTCATTTAATTTAAGGAAGTTTATTCTTGGAACATCATTATTCCAAGTATGTTCTCATTTTGAGTACAAAATGTATCATTCATTTACTTTATTGTTTAAAGCATTGCAATGAACTACTATTACATGTTTTTTTATTCCAAGTATGTTCTCATTTTGAGTACAAAATGTATCATTCATTTACTTTATTGTTTAAAGCATTGCAATGAACTACTATTACATGTTTTTTAAGCCTTACAGATGTCTTTAAGCCATTTATAATTAGTAATGAGAATTAAAGTTCCTGAATTATTAATAATATCTGCTAATTTCCTTCCTTTCTTTTTTATTTTTAAATTACTTTATGTAAATAGGAATGAGAAATTGTATGATTTCGAAATAGTATATCTAAGAATCTTAAGTATTGTACAGTAGTAGATATGAAATCGTCAGAATTTTCATCCATTTTGTTTGTTTTAAAGAAACATTCAGTATTAGTATGGTTACTTACTTTGCAAGTAATGAAACAAACATTATTGTTGTTCCTTAAATCTGGATTTGTGTGCACAATAAATATGTGGTTGAAGCTAAATGTGCTGAAATATAAGTACAAAGATTAAACATGTCTAAATAGAGGCTATACATAAATTTGTGAATTATAAAAGTTTTTTAAGTGTAGTTATGGTTGGATATGTTGTGACTTCATTATAAAAATAAGTTATAAAAAAAGATAGTCCTGCAGACTTTTATCAACGTGGTTTTAAGTATATATATTGTTTAAATATCATCGTTGTATAAATTGAGTGAAATTCAATACAGTCAAAAGTTGTTAATTCGGACACCCATAATCTGGAACTCAAAGCTGATGCATGTGAGTAAGACCTTTACGGCTGCGAATATGCGTGTTCGCATGCACATAATACGTTTACGCATGCGCGTTTAATGTATAACGGACGGTATAAGCTAAGCTAAAATTATCTAATTCAGTTAATGTCACAGATTGCGTAGTTCCTTAATCTTCGAATTGGATGCGGCTTATTATTTTTTGCAGACTGTTAGAGCAATTTTATAAAAGTAAGCTTGAACTTCAGATTATGTCAAATAGAATTTCCGATATATATTTACTAATATGTAAAGGATCTACAAAGCGAAAGTATGTTTCGAAGTCCATTAAACAAAAAGTGGAATTGCTGCAAAAAATGGATAAAGGCATATCCTTTGTTTCTCTAACCATTCCGAAATCTGTTTATTAATTTCACGCTACTCTGGGGGGGGGGAATGTCACGTCACACAATGAATTGGAAGTTGATCTGTCAGCACTATCCTTATCTTCAGGGCAGATGTTTTTATTTTATTTGGCTTATAATTCCTTACTAAATGTAGTATTTCATCTTGATGTACTCCATCTTTGATATGATTTAAATCAAATTTCTCATCATAATAATTCACTTCAGATAGTGAAGAAAGTGACACACAGGTTATTGAAAACGAAAAAATTTCGATTGACAAATTAGTCGGTATTTTCGACACAGCAATTATTGGACTTGAACAGCGGAACTTTGTAACTGAACAAGAAATTATGTCTGTTTATAGAATTAGAGAAAGTATTATCACATAAAACGAAGCAGCTTAAACAACTTACATTGAAAGAAATGTTTAATAAAGTAAACAAATAAATATTAAACTTTTTTTTTTTTTTTTTTTTTTTTTTGTAAATTTTGATACCCTTTAGATCATAATTGTTCTTTATTTCATAAATTACGGTTTCATATTTTTAATTTTATAATTTCTGCATGCCATCTTACCAGATTTAAACTTATGATCTATAATCCGGAATCGCCGAAGTCCGGATTAACAACTTTTGATTGTATTTAAATTTGATGATATAAATTTTATTAAACAGTTTTGTATTTCAATTTGTTAATATTTTTTCAAATTTACAAACTAAAAAAATGCAGTTATGAAGAAAACATTAGTATTTCTGATCTGTTTATTACTTAAAGTGTATGAATTTGGCCATGTAGAACAACTGAATTTGTGAACTTGTCATGTTAAATTACTTTGAATGCAAATAGTTCAGAATATTAGTAAAATATCTCATTTGGAAAATTATTTTAACATCAAAGGATAAAAATGGTAGGTTAGGCAAAATTGCCAATTATTTATTTATTTGATAACGTACCTTTAGCCTGGTTAACTGTGGCTATATGCTGAGATGTGGATTTCATGAGATTTTAAAACTGCTCTAGAGACACTAGGCCCAGGCTTGTTGAAGCTCAAATTGTGTCCTTTTCATTAGCTGTGAGTTGCTAAAATAAGTAAATGTTTTTGTAATGGGCAAATAAGTTGGCCGGATTAGTTTATAGTATGAGCCAGTTGAGGACAAGTAAAATATTTCATTTAATTACATCTGAATTACTGTCTCTGTATGTGCTGCTAAAAGAGCCCTAGTGCCTTTAGAATAAATCCTCAACATGAAGGGGTTGGATGTAGTCAAGGAGGAGAGTATGATTCTGTCAGTTACCAGGTAAACTAATGGCCTTAAACTGAATGGCTGAATAATCGTACTGTTACTAAATTTCCTGTACCCAGCACAACCTTTTTAATAGTTTGGCTTCCATCAATTTGTTAGATTTCGTTGATTTAGCACAATATGAATCTGAACTTGTCTGTCCAACTATGTGTTGGCCACCATGCAGTTTCAGTATTCTTGGATGCAACCAAATGCAGAGCATATTGTCATGGTTTAAGCTATGGGTCAGTGTCAGGTGTACATGTACGTTAGATAAAGGGCTCAATTTCCTTTTTAAAAATTAATGAAAATAATCAGTTCATTTAAGTATATTTTATTTGTTTCAAACCCTTAATTACATCTGTATGTAATGATGTTAATTTTGCAAGGGGTCTTAAAATACCTTTAGTTTGAGATTTGACCAGTTCTGACTGTTACATGTGTATAATTCTGCAATATGAATCCTAAATTGGAATAATTCTGTAACTCTGCAAATGGCATAATGAATGCTGTATTGTCCTCACTGCAGTAATTAGGATGTTCTGCACTTAACACAGCATACAATATAAATGACAGCTACAAATATCTGCTATTTATAAATCATCAGCAATTGCAAATTGAAGTGATCGTGTCATGTCTTTTTAAGACTCGCCTGTATTTTTATGGGTGGGGGCTAAATTTACTATACAGGGTGATTTGCTACCAGACCGATAAACTTGCAGGGTGTAGGGGGTACTGAGACTCGAAATTACATAACTGTGAGCTATGGTGCAAAGAAGCAGAGAAAAAAGAACAGAAACAGCACCACATTAATGGGACAGAAAACATTTTATTGAAAGGTTGTACTATAACAGGGTGTTCGAGATTATAACCAGAAGTCGTCTGGAACGCCTGAGAGCTGCACTCCATGGAATT